GACATTAAGGGTGGATGAACTAAAGCAAATTGATGAGCATATTCCACTGACGTTATGTAAGCTTGAGAAGATTTTTCCACCTTCAATTTTTGATGTTATGCTGCATTTAGTAGTTCATTTAGCATCTGAAGCCATACTTGGAGGGCCTATTCGATTTTGATGGATGTACCCAGTGGAACATCAGCTTTATACTTATAAGTCATATATCAGAAACAGGGCACGTTCAGAAGGGTCAATTGCTGAAGGATATGTAGCAGATGAATGTATGACACTTTGCTCAAGGTATCTAAAAGAATTCGAGACAAAGTTTAATCGCCTTGAAGGAAATTATGAAGATAATAATAGAGAATATCATGAAGCACAACTATCTATTTTCAGACATAGTGGGCGAGCATTGGGTGCTGCCACCACCCGCTACCTTGATGAATGTGAGTGGTTGTAAGCTCATATTTATGTTCTAAAGAACTATGATGAAGTGCAACCACATATTGAGTAAGTCACTAAAGTTTAAGATTCTATTAATAAATTTACTATAGTTAATCAATGTTAATCATATTTATGATATTTTAATGTAGGGACTACAATGAATTCGTGAGAGAACCCACAAATCACTATGATGATAAAGATTGGGATAAGAACTTTATCGAGTGGTTCCAATCTCTAGTATGTACATATCTTGCCTTATTTTTTAATATCTTGATTGGTTCATTTTATTACATGTTCCATGACTTGATCATATTTTGGTTTTGTTTAGGTTTATCAGAGTTATCGAGAAGATGATGACTTACTTTCACTATCTCGTGGTCCAAGTAAGATTGTTAAATGTTTTACTGGATTTGTCATAAATGGACATCGATTTCATACAGAAAGTCGAGATAATTGTTTGTCAACTCAAAATAGCAGGGTTGTAGTTATTGGTGATGCTGGTGATGGTGGAGATATAAATTATTATGGTGCTTTGGTTGAAGTTGTCGAATTAGAGTATCTTGGTGGAAGAAGTGTTGTTTTATTTCTTTGTAAGTGGTGGGATGTGCACGGCAAAGGAAAAGAGACCGCTTTGAAAAAAGATAAATATGGATTTGTTAGTATTAACTGCCGACATTTGCTAAAGACGAATGACCACTTTATACTTGCTGGCCAAGCATCACAAGTTTTTTATGTTGAGGATATTGCCAATGAAGGTTGGCATGTACTTCTTAAAGCACAACCCCGTGATTCCTATGATATACCACCAGATACAGATGATTGTGAGATAACAGACGATGAAGTTGAAGCTTATTTGCAAGATGAATCATTTGATGCTCAGGCTATTGCATCAACATCATTGGAAGATGATTATCAATTTGAGAAGGAGTGATATTGATCCAATTATTGTAAATTCGGTCTCAACTTCAAAAAAAGAGGAAAAAGACTCAAGCAGAGAATTAGAACACTTTAATTAAAGAATAGAACACAAATGATATTGTGTTATTGAGATAAATTTTAAGTTGTATCTTACTATAACTATTCTTTTTTTAGACATATGATGTTCTTTTCTTCATATTTTGGATGTGGCTTTGACATTGTAGCAAGTGCTTCTACATTAGTGTATTATGTATTTATTATTATTCTTGTCCTTGGGGATTTCTTTTTCTTAGCAAGTGCTTCTACATTAGTGTATTATGTATTTATTATTATTCTTGTCCTTGGGGATTTCTTTTTCTTTTATTCATTTCTCTTTTGACATTTGTTTTATACATAGTGTATGATACTTAAATTCCTATTCATAGCAGAAAAGTGAAAACTCAAGAAGTCACTTCCAAAAGCAAAATGGCACAATTTCTAGCACCTAGGTCATTAATTAGGAAGCGACTTCAAGCACTTGCAGAAAATTCATTAAGAAGGGAACAACTCCGTACTTTTCATGACAAGAACTTGAATATTCAAAATCCAATACAAGATCAAAATATGGGTACAAATTTTAGCGTTGATTCAGAAAACTTTGAAGAGGAGAATTTTGCACAAAATCGCAGGAGAAGTGCAAATACTAACAATGAAGAGAATGATGATTCTGCAGGTTGATAAGACTTAAAATTTATTATTAATACTTTTTTATCTTTCAATTTATTTTTTATGATTGGATTAATAATTGCTCAATTTTTGCAGAATCAAATAATCATCGAGTGCAAAGTGATGATGTAATACTAAATGAATCTCGACAAGAAGGTATATTCTTTATTAATTACAAGAAGTAATATTTTTATCAATTTCTTTTTACCTATATCTTGTTTCTAACATATGATATGATGTATGCAGCTGATAATTCTCATAAGAAGAAAAATCCACCTCGTGGTAATAATAAGATTTGTCCAGTAGCTGTTGAGAATTGGGCCAAAATACCACAACAAAATAAAGATCATATGTGGGCATCCATTAAGGTACATTGAAAATTAATTTTTTGTAATTGGTTTTTAATTCTTATAAATTAAATTTTGATTCAAATTTGATATAGGATAAATTTGATGCCGAGAATATGGAGCAAAAGAGAGAGTCAGTAATGAGACACTTGCGCGATTTGTGGAATAAGTGGCGGGGTGACATGTACAGAAAATATGTGAAAGAAAATTCATTACAAGTTGCACTTAGAAATAAACCTACAGAAGTGAGTGTTGATGACTGGGATTGGCTAGTTAAGGAACATTATTTTTCTTCAAAATTCCAGGTATTAATCTCCTAATTTTATTAATTAATTTCTTTCATGTATATTGTTGGATTGTTAAAATTATCTTTTAATCTTGATGTATAGAAAGCAAGCCAACAAAATACACTTAACAGAGGCAAAAGAAAGATGCTCCACCACACGGGCAGCAAACCCTTTAGACAAATTGCGTGGGAATTGGTATACATTCAAAACTAATTTCTTATTTATTTATAACTACTTTGTTTTTTAGTTTGATGTTGTACTCATTTTTATTTAATATTTGAATAAGGGTGGCAAGTCAGGAAATCCACCTGATGTGGCAAAAATGTTTCATGAAACTCGAAAGAAAGCTAATGAAATACTAGATATTGGGAATCAAGATAAATATGTAAGTAGAATATGTGTTTAAGTTTGATATTGATGCATTATTTAGTACTAACATATGAATTTATTTTTTATAGGATGAAATTGTTCAAGTCAAACAAGCAAACCCTTCACTTTCTGACATTGAGATAGTTGAGAAAATCCGAGGAAAACAATCTCATGGTCACATCACTGTATTTGGTGACGGGACTACTTTGAAAGATTTAAGATGACCGCTCCCTAGTCGATCTGATCTAGAAGCACGAGTTATAGAAAAAAAAAGAGAAAGAACCAGATACTTCAACAATGCTTAGATGAGCAGGAGCAACAACAACAAATTAAGGATGTCAGAGTTGGAGTCACAAGTGAAAACTATGTAAGAACTTTTTTTTAAGCAATCACCTTCATTGACTCCTCAAACTCGAGAACGTGTGCAGGACTAGATAATTATTTTTTATAAAATCTCATATATACTTTTATGATTGACTACTTGCACTAAAAAAATGTGATTTTTACTTAATAAGATAATATTTGCTTAATTGATATTTCTTAATTATGTGATTTTTTTTAAATTTTTAGGCTATCCATGCAAGATTAGGAGGGGGTAGCTCGAGTCTTCTTTTGACGATGATTAGAGATGAAAGAATGTGTCTTCCCCAAACTTTTCTTTTAATTTGTTTTAGATAGTTTCATGTATTTTTCTTTGGAACAATTAGGATATTAACTATTGTTATTAGTATTGAATATTTGAGGATGATGGAATTTTATTTATTGATGTTATTAATGAATGGAATTTTTATTTTCCCTCTTACGCATTATTGGGTATTTTTAATATATTTTTGTTGTGAATCTTAGTGTCAGGTTGAGAATAATATAATAGTTGTTTATGAATAAAAAATTAATTATTAATTTATATTAGAAATTTGTAGTCTACAATGACTGTTTTATAAACCGTATTTTATTCATCAACGAAGGAAAAGCACCGTCGTTGATGGGTGACTAATTACCCATTATGAGGACTTTTACGACGGTATCCAACCGTTATTAATTAGTCTTCAACGATAGAAAAATATCCTCATAACTAATGGTAACGACGGGAAAATATCCCCGTAACTAATGGTAATGACAGGAAAATATCCTGTCACTGATGGTAACGATGGGAAAATATCCCCGTGACTAATAGTAACGACGGTGATAATTACCGTCGTAAATATTAATGACGAAAATATGTTCCATCGTTATAGACTCTATAACGATGGGTAGTATATCCCTTCATGACCCTTTAGCGAAGAGGGCTTCAACGACGGGTGACGAAGGGATTTTTCCCCGTCGTTAGCATATAATAACGAAGGTTTTTAGCTCTTTAACGAAGGGAAATCCCTTCGTTAAAAATGTAATTTCTTGTAGTGTGTGTGTGTGACTCGAACCGAGTTCTCACCCGAGGAGGTACGAGATATTTTGTGATATTTATAGATGATCACTCCATATATTGTTACACCTATCTTCTCAAGACTAAGGATGAAGTTTTAGATAGGTTAAGATGTATAAAGCTGAATCTGAGAACCAACTTGACAGAAAGATCAAGATTCTAAGATCTGATCATAGGGGGAGTATACCTCAAATGATATGACTGAATATTACCAAGAACACGGTATTATTCATGAGGTAACTGCTCCCTATACACCACAGTCTAACAAGGTAACTGAACGAAAGAGCAAAACCCTGATGGACATGGTGAACTGTATGTTATTCAGTTCAGGAGCACCTGAAAATCTCTGAGGTGAAACTCTTCTTTCTGCATGCTTCATTCTTAATAGGATTCCCCACAAATCTTCTGATACAACACCTTATGAATCATATGGGCATGTTGAATTGAGTAGGATACAAAATCCACTTTCTCTAAAAACTTACTAATGATGTCAATATCTTCATTTGATTTAGCAACCTTCTTCTTGTCTTTTGGTTTAATGCTAGTGTTAGCACCACTTGTTGACTTGAAGTTAGTAGGTTGTGTGGGAGTATAAGTGACATTTTCAACTTGCTCATCATCAATATTGCTATCATGTTTCCCTGAACTAGGTGTAGGAAATTCGTCCTCTTCGTCTGAAATAGGGATGGATTTACAAGACCCAAAACTAGAAAAAAATATCTGAAGTTAAGTCTCCTTTTTCTTTATCATCCCCTACGATAATTTGTTAATTCTCATAATGTATGAGAGGCTTGTTGAAATAATCTTTCAGCTTAGAATTGGAAGCTTTTACCCTGTACAAAAGAAAGCATAGTACATGTCTAGAATTAGATACAAATGAAGTTAGGAAAAAATGAAATTGCAAAAAACATAAGACAAATAATACCTCAGACCACCTATCATATGAAACTTCATCCAATGTAATGGATTTGGTCTCATTGTCCCATCCAGCACCACTCATATTAGCACAAGCTTGCATCGCATAAAATTGTTTCTTCAAGCTCTTTATGTGATTAATAACATTTTCTTTACTGAAGTCAGACTTGCATTTGTTATTAATATAAGCAACAACCATGCTGAATTGCAATTTGTTTAAAAATTTTATCAGGTTTGAACCCATCTTTGGCCAACTTTGCAAGATAGGAAATGAGCATGTCATCATGATGATGTTCCCATTTCTTATTACATGAGCCCTTTGAACCCATATCAGATATATTATTGCTTGATGTTCTTCTTTTCTTACTAGCCCTTTTCTTTTTCTTTTTTTTATGTGGGAGAATTTTCTTCCACTTTCTCTATGAAAGTCCCCTTTGTTCCTATAAGATCAGGAACAGCCCCTATGTCAAACGATAGTGGTAGAACCCCACCACTGCCTTGTGAACTATGACCAGGCTGGAGGTAAAGGCTAGGGCTATTGAGCATGTTCATGTAGCTCATTTGTTGCTGTGAAACTGGAAAATAATTCCCTTCATAACTTGTAAAACATGAGTGGAGTGCGGCTGAGTTTGGAAAAAAAACATAAAACCCATATTATACGCATTAGACTACCTTTCACTTGATGGTGAATGAGTCATAGATTTGTTGGCATCAAGCTTCTTTGCACCATCAACCATACCTATGAAATGCATGTAAACCAATCATATATGAGGGGAAAACTAAATCTTATTATCACAATAATTATACAACACATAATTACATTGCACACATAATATGAAATGCATTAAAACCAATCATATATTAAGCAAAATTTTAAACCAACTGTCATATTCATAAAACACAAATACGAAAAGTACATTGCACACATAATTATACAACACAAATACGAAAATTAATAAATTTAGTATAAGTCTTAAACAAATTAAAACAAAGTTTGACTCTAAAGAATTTTAAGCATATTGCACACATGAAATTAGTCTATTCTAGTTTCAATTGTATCACCCGCATGATGCCGGTCACAATAATCTACCCATATTTCCTGAGCAATTTGATCCCTACAAGCTTTTCATTCATTTCTTGAACTTGTTTGCTCTCTTTGAGTCTGTGTTTGAGTAAAGTCTACTACGTTTTCTCCATCCTCATTTGCTAATTCACCATCATCATCTTCATCGTCCACAGTCTCATTAAGGAAGTCATCCTTGGGATCCTCTATTGTAATATAATTATGAAGTAGTGCACAAACGAGAGCAATATGGACGGACTTGTGAGCGAAAAGGGTAATGTGGCTTTGCAGAAAGAACCTTGGATCGATTCTTAAGTATTCCGAATGCACATTCAATTTTCTAAGAGATGAGTGTCGTAAATTAAAAACTCTCTTCTATTTCTAGGTGTTTTTCCAACATGCTCTTTTAGATGATAGTGCACACCATGATAGGGAGAGATGAAACCAGGCATAGTAGTGTACTCCGCATCACAAAGGTAATATTTTCCTACATATTACATCATAAGAAAGTTAATAATTACCTAAATTTTAAAAAAAAATATATAGCAACTTTGTTAAAAAATTAATTTCATTACCATCATAGACTCTCAATCCATGAGGTTGTGGTCTTGAAAGTGCGTCTTAAATGACTCTACAATCGTTAGCTGAGCCTTCACATCCTGCTAGCATGTATGTGAATAATTTGTTTGGGATGCAAGCCGCTGAATATTTTGTGTCACTCCTTTACGACCTCTAAAACGTGCTACAAGATTGTTAGGTAGCATGGCTTTAATGTGTGTTCCATCTATCATTCCAATACAGTCCTATAAATGTAGACAAGTACATACTTAGATTTGTTAACTTCAATTTTATTTGTAGGTTTTAGTGAGCTGTGTTGAAAATTTACCTTGAAGTAAGAATAATATCGAGGGTTGCTAGCAATCTCTGGTGGCACTTTATTTGGTGCTTGCCGAACGTAACAATCACGCAGTTGGAAAATGACAGCCTTATTGAAGTATCTACTAATTGTTTCTCTCGACCTAATAAAGTTAGATCTTAGTACACTATTATTGGTTTTATGACCCAAAATGTTCGAGAATATTACAAGTTGTTCTTCAACCATAATGTGCCTAGAGTCTTTAAGTAGACCTTATATCCTCATCAAATTTACAAGCTTGTCAAACGTAACTTTACGCATCCTTACATAGTCTTTACAACTAGTAGGATAACCTTTCAATATTCTAGACAATTGTGCGTCTCAGTACCTTTCATTTGCTTTCTTTTGTAATCTATGTACATGAGTGATATGTCTTCTTCTAGATTGTAATCTTTTTAGAAAGGTAACCATCAACACTAACACAATCATAGCACCCCCAGACAATCATCATCATCATCTCCTCCTCAATATTTTCCATCTACAATACCATACATGAAAATTACAAACTAAGAGTCTAGTTGAAAAAAATATATAAGCATGAAACTGATCAATAGCCTAGTTGAAAAAAATATAAGCAAGAAATTGAACACAACTTGTAGCAAACTAACAGTCTAGTTGATATTTAAAAAAAATTCATAGACAAAATAAATTAGAACATTAAATTGAACAAATCCAGGTTAAATCAGGTTGTCTGACCACCCAAAATTATATAAAAATATATAAACAATTTGACCATGAAATTGAACAATAGCTACATGAATTAAACTGAAAAGTCTTCACGTCATGTACCAAACTAAGAGTCTAATTGATTAAAAAATCTATTTTTTTATTAAAAAGACAATTTTTACCTTACTTTTTGCTTGAATTGCAACTACGTGATAACGATGGTCAGAAATGGGAAGATCTGAACACCGACAAGCTAAAAAGAGAGATCTTTAGCCCTTTTAACAAATGCCTCTTTTCCCCCAATTCTGAAGATGAGAATGGGAGAGGGGGGGAAAATGTAGTGATAAGGGAAGATATCTACGGGTTTTTTCTCTCACTAAAGATAAGAACGAGAGAGGAAGGAAGCAGTGTTGATGATAGAAATCTATGGGCTTTTTCCCCTTTTCTCTGATGAAGAACGAAAGAGAAAGGAATGGGTGGTGCGAGTGAGGAGATGAAACCAGATAATACCCGCTTCATCTATCCCATCATCAATAATTTAGTACTATCCCCTCCATTTTCCACCTCTTTCATTCCCACTTCCAGCAATTCGGCTGAGATTTTATTTCCACCAAAACCCGTCCTTTTCTCTACTTCTAAGAAACATTTTTCTTCTTCTTTTTTTTTTAACGAACACAACAATGGGAAAAATTATACCCTTAAAATCTATATACCGACAATAAACAGTGCCTTTCCACCTCTTTCTTGCTTTTTTTTAAACAAACACATTAAAATCTATATACCGACAATAAACAGTGCCTTTCCACCTCTTTCTTGCTTTTTTTTAAACAAACACACCCTAAACTAATGAACGCGAAACACTTATATTAAATCTCCGCATCAGCTTGGATCACCTCGAGTCCAACTCTAACCCGAGCTCAGTACAGAAGACATCGTCTCTGTTTAAAATTTCACAAATAGAAAGCATCATACTAGCGGAAATTGACAACATGTATATCCAATCAAAAAAATAAAGAATTGTGCAGTAGATCATTTTGTTCAAATATAGACGGGTTGCAACTACTAATTAGTTACAAAAAATGTCCATTGCGACTGCTTGTCTTGTTATAACTACTAGTGTGAACACTGTGCTTTGCATGGCATTTTTTCCCGCTACAGTAATCCCGGTTTAACTGCTTTTTTTTATTTTTTGAATTGCTATCGTATCTCGCTCCTGCTACAGTATTTCCGTGTGCTACAGTAATATTTTTCAAAATATCACACTGATCAGCTCCCTGTTTGCTACAGTAATGATGCTGCTGTAGCATGAATAGTACATCGTGGGTTCTCCCATTTGTATAGAGGAGTAGATATACTACCATTGAAACTACAGTTATAAACATCTCAATTGAAGGAACCAAACTTGTAACGAGAATAACGTTTTTGCTCCCAGACATAAGTTTGTTATTAGTGTGAGTGTGTAATAATTAGTCAAGACCCATTGTTGAAAACTCGTTAAATGAGTGACGTTCTAGTATAACACGGACGCTTCATATTTCTTTTTAATCCCTCTACGGAGTTGGCTAGGATTCCTTAAATCGCTCACGTTTTTCTCATGGTTTGAACGCGTTGAGAGACAAACGGACCGAGCACAAAGAGCGGCATATTTATCATTTCGTTAGAAATTATGACCCTAAACAACGATTTGGCACGGTCCAAAGCGACCCATAACCAATGATCAGGTCCTCATTGGCTGCGTCAAGCTTTGAAATTTGAAATTTTCATTTAGGAAACAGCTAAGTTGGTTTCCTAAAAGTCACTCCTATATAAAGCCACAGACTTGAAGCCTTTCATCATCAAACTCTTCTCTCCCTCATTCTTTAAGAAACTCTTCCCTCCCTCAGTCTTTTAGGTTTTCCCTCCTCATTTTATCAAAGAATTTCAAAGTGTTGAGAAGATGAGTTCAATGAGAATGTGCACTTTGCTCTTCTTTGTCTACTTTTTCTCCGGGCTTATGCATCTCGCCCGCGGTCAAGGGCCGGCGCCTTCTCCGATGACGAGTGATGGCATGGCGATAGATCAAGGGATAGCTTACGTGTTGATGCTTGTGGCTCTTCTTATTACCTACTTTGTTCATTGAAGCCAATACGTACAGCTCGCTCTAATTTGTTTTGAATTTTGGTATATTTAACTCGAGAGATCTCGCAAAAAAAGAATATTCTTTTCTACAGACTTGATGCAAAATATGCTAGGAGAGTGACATGGTTGTAGTGAATTTTGCTATTACATTCTATGTAAATCTTATATCTCCTAAACTATTGAGTATTGATTTTTCTACAGACGGCTTTTGGCATTATGTTGAGCGTTTTGTAAAACTCAACCGATGATAAAAGTATTAAGAACCAACTACAAAATGCCTTCGAAAAAAAGGGAGAGGGGAGAGGGAAAGAAGAATCTATGCTGAAAGCAAGCATCACCTAAAATAAAAATCATCTATAAATCCTTTCTGCAAATCCCAATAGCTTTTATCAGAATTGACAAAGCAATACACTGTTCTTACCTGTGGTCAAAAAAAGTAGGATACGTGATGGTTAAGTTAGATAGAGCCATGAATTAATACAAAATATAAGACTTGGGATTTAGGATACTTCAAAAAAGTTCAACAATATTTGCAACTTGTATCCGTATATCAAATAATTCTAATATGAGCAGGAAACAGATCGACCAAAACTAAACAATATACATATACATATGCTCCCATCATTTTCTACTTGATCCATAGTAGCTCCTCATCTCATGCCATAAGCAAAGCAAAGTATCAGAGGCATCTTCATCCCAACAACTTTCTTCAGTCTTCGCAACTGCTAACAAAGTTCTCAACCATTCTTCATGAAGACTAGAAAACTCAGACCTCCCTTCACTACTCTTGAAATTTTTACCGATCATCGCCTTCATTCTTTGGCTAGCCTTTGATGCAGCCTCAACAACCTGATTGGGGATTCCGGCCATAAGAGCAACTTGAAGTCCGTAGCTCTCAGGTGAAGGGCCAGATGCAAGTTTGTAGAGAAAAACTAGGCCGTTATCTTTAAGAGCACATGCCATATGTTGAAGGTTTACTCGAGGATGAGATGCGAATTCTTTGGTGAGGGGGTGATAGTGAGTGGCAAAGAGCAAGCGACAACGAACGGTTTCTACCAGATGACGAAATACCTAGAAACATAGTTTGGATGATGTTAGAGAGCAAGCACTTGAAGGTAACGCATACATTGAAGGGTTAAGATACACCCAATGTACTATGGTAAGACCTATGCCCCGATCTATTTTATCAGCGCTTAAAGTCCCAAATGGTGGCCTTTTTGCCCTCTATTTAGAAGGAAACATATGGCGAACTTTTTGCCCTCTATTTAGAGGGGAATATAGTCCTTTTCCAGTTAAACTAAACGAAAGGCATACTATCGTCTGGAGTTCCACTAATAATTAACCCTATATTCAAAGTAGAGAACAGTTTGTTTATAAAGAAAAGGGTAGAGAATAGTGCATAATATTGAATGTAATAAGTTGAGTTTTCAATATTTTATGCAGTTTTCCTCAAGAAAAAGAAAAAAAAAGTCAATATAACAAACAAACAAACAATTATCTTGTTTCCAGAACTCACGGTTCCTTCTAGTAATGCAACTTCTACTAATCTTTAGAATTAAAAAAAAAAATTATGCAGCCAATTACTGATGAAGAATCTGATGCAACATGATGCCTTATAAACTGCCAGAATTCTACATAATTTAGGTTGTGAAACTGGAGGGTTCAAGTTTCGGGCGGAATTGGTAAGGAATCAAAGAGAGACTTCAGTTGACTGACTAGGTAAGTGCTAAGCTACTGATCCCATCCAAGCCTCAAACAACCAAATCATAGTTCTAAGCACACAATAAGAAATCAAATCACACCAGACCCTCAGATTGATACGAGATGAATCTAGTTCATTTTCATAACCCTTGACACTATAGCTAGTATTTTAAGATTTAAATTAGAAATCGAGATTGAGCATGTGGTCTGGTAATACTGTATCTTCTTTGCTAACAAACTAGAAAATAGTCCTAAACCACAAGTAATTGGACAATTAAATCAGAGTTACCCACAGCATATGCAATTGCATAACCATCAAATGTGCTCGTCCCTCTACCGAGTTCATCAAGCAACACAAGAGAATCTTGAGTAGCATGCCGAAGAATTGTTGCTGTTTCTGAGCACTCAACAAAAAAAGTGCCTACAGAGAAAGTGTGTATAATTACCTTCAGCATGAAATAAGTATAGTCGCAATATATCCAAAAAATGTGATTAAACCTGATAGCATGAAAATTTCTGAGTAAGACTTATCTTCCTTCCAATATAAAAGTAGGGAATATTAAAATATTCATGTTTCAGCAGGTAGTATCCACTGTATGTGAATACAGATATCATGAATGCATGTAACATGCAAACTTAGAGATGTAGAGAATTAACTGGAACTTTATCTGCTTTTTTTCCCTTTGTTCCTCCATCAAAAAAATATTAAGAATGCACACAAGAGTGCACACAAACACAAGCAAAGCACATGAAGATGCAGACAGATACATGCACGAATGCAGAAACATGTTGAAGCTTTTGCTCATTGGTATTACCTAGGAAAATAAAGGACTTAGAATTACTGGGAGTGGACAAAGTTTATGAATTTGTTTATGCAGCATTATGGACTCTATTAACAAAATGCTCAGCTTCCGCATGACACAAACTTCTAGCACATTGCTGGACATCAAAACATTTATTGTAAATAGCCATCTCTGTACAAGCAGGCTGTTGACTACTACACTACTTTTAGAAGTCTCTTCTAAGCAACTTTTATGGTTGGACAAGACTTAATATTGTTCTTTCCAAAGGCACTCTATTGATTATTTTCCCTACCTATCCTTGATCAGCACTAAAATTTAAAAAAATATATGATCCTAATAAACAACGGGGATTGGGAGGGTATAAAAGAAAATTAAAAAGTTTTGGGGATTGGGAGGGTATAAAAGAAAATTAAAAAGTTTTACCAGAAAAGCAATTCTAGTGGTGTGTTATAGTTTAGTGTTTGTTATCCTCAAATAGATTTCCTTTCTTTTTTAAATAAAGTAACCAGGAGTATTTTATTTTAGATGTTAACCTAACAGTTGGATTATTCATCTACATCAAACTTTTTCACATCTTAATAATGTTTTAAACTACAGCCTTCTAGCAAGGAACACTTTGGTTTTTATTTTAGTCGAGTAGCTAAACTGTTTCATCTAAAGAAATATATCTATAAATCTGCAGAATAGAATATCATGTCTCCTTAAGTTAGAATTATTTGATTCCAACAAACACCAGTTAACATCTTTAGAACAATAATAAAGACTTGCTTTCATTCTTCAAGGCTGCTAGACATCCATTCACCACTCTGATCAATTGGAAGACAACACCAAAAGAGATTCATAACATACAAATCAAATGCTAGCTTTTGTCGATAACGACCAATAATAAAAACAAACAATCCAATGTTCGATTTGTGTGTTGTCAGAAGAATGCTGCACTATGTCAAAATCTTCCAGAACGTCGAAATCTTTTGTGATCCCTTCATTTCAAAAAATTTGTCTTATAATACATAATTTATGATGCAAACTTATCATAGAATGACAGAAAAAGATATCAGGTGGAAGTGAACACATCATAATCATACTAAAGCATGAGATTCTGATTTACATTTTTATACCCATACTAAAGCAGTGGCCTATGATGAAGAGGAAAAAGAAGAGAAAGGCATGTCGATCTGACTTTTAGCCACTAGAATTTACGTAAAAAGAAAAATCATGGCATATTAACTGATTATGGATAATGAGCAAATGATGTAAATGTTGTTCATATGAGGGCACTTACTTTCTCCTGACATGATTCGATCAGTTGCCCCAAGCCGCGTAAAGATAACATCAACTGGTGACAGCACACACTCATCACAGGGGACATAGCAGCCTACCTATAAAGAGGCACCGGAAAAGATGAGTAGAAGCAGTTTAGTCTCTAATAACTTATTGAATTTTCGGTTTATAAGGATTAAATAATGTAGATGAACTAACCTGAGCCAGTATAACAGCAAGACATGTGGCCCTCAGCAACGTTGATTTCCCACCCATATTCGGTCCAGTCAGTAGCAATGCTCGTGGATGAGACCCAGCTGCACCTTCACCAAGATATATGTCATTGGGAACCAGACTGTTCCCATTATCTACAACAGCATAGGGGTGCCACAAACCCTTAATCCTTAGAATTGGCCCTTTACTCTCTGGGCATGAGATTGTAGAACGAGACTCTACTGGTAAAAGAACAGGCCTAGTCGTAGAGCCACATGAAGAAATTGCAGCGACAGCAAAGGATTGTAGCACATCGACGCTATTAAGTGCCTCGATCACATGAGACCATTCATTAGACTTTGCCACAAACAGCTCAACAAGAACAGATAATGTTTCAGCATCTGAGTCTTCAATGGTATGGTCCTGTTTGTCAGAAATTCAGCAGATCAAGGATACTGGTACTAGCAAATTAGATTTGATTATTCATACAGGCATGTTGTGCATATGTTTAAAGATAACTACTACCATGTCACAGTACAAGTTTCAAACATCAGATGATTATTTCAATTAAGATCTTGAAAACATATAACTATAAAAGCTCTCTGCTTTTAAGGCGTAATACTTGCCATAATGCCATTTGATTTCAGAGTTTAAAATGGCAAACATAATAAGCCAAAGCATTGAACCCCATTGTGAGGACCAAAGACTCTCGCCTTCATCCCTCGCACCATCCACCAATTGTGTGGCAGAAGTCATAATCTTGTAACAGTTACAGATAAATCATATTTATTTGATTAAACCTGATCATTATACATGGATAGTTGGATTTTGTGATTTGCAGTATTATTACTCAGAGCCTTTTCCTGCTCCTCCTTCAGTAAAGTGGGAGGAAGAAGAGGAACAGAAACAGAGAAGAGAATGTAGGGAATGGAAGGCAATCAGGCATAACGCATATCAGATGCCAGCGTTGGATGGAGATTGATGATTACATCTGAGTCTACAAAGGAAGACTCCAACAACATCAGCATGCAACAAACCAACAAGATATGTAAAGGTGAATGACCAGTTAACAGGAGGTAGGTACGCTTTTCAGTTTACTCAACATTTATCAACCACATCAACTTCAAGCATACACTTCAAACTTAAGGTGACGGGACTAGACAATTATGCTTTTGAGAAGCATCTCACTTTAAGATTCTGTGCCTCCTATTTCCATGTGCCTCAGGACATGCATGCATAAGGTTCCTTGCAGCTAACCACCTTTTAAAACAGCAAGCAATATGTAACCATAGTATCACGAAACTAAAGAAAAAAATTGGCTTACCTGAAATAAGGATTTTTTTTAACTTATATATACTCAAGTTAACAATACTTTTAAATTTACCTCACATATTTAGATATTTGCAAATATACACCTCAATTCNAGCCACATTCATCTGAGGAGAAGTCTGAGATTTCCCCAAAACCATTTTGAATCCTTTTGCTTCTAAAGGTAATCCTAAGATTTGAGGGGTATTTGTCGTGACTTTGGGGGTTCAATTTGCAAATAGGATAGATTTGGGGAGGTATTTAGGCCAAAGCCCTTTAAAATAAATAATAGAATAGTAAGTTCCGATCCATTCAAATAGAGTATGAGAACAGTAAATGTAGCCATGCTTAAGAGCTCTACACGCAACTAAGTGACCCATTAAAATTTTCAAATCACATAATAAGAGAGATGTCATTGAACAAAGGTACAAGGAGCATATTTGAACTAAAACTACCCATATTACTGTATTATAACATTATTTTGCTTTTCAGTGTTACCAATTATCAGAACAGTAATATTATTATTCCAGATTTCTGTCAATGAAATATTCCTTGACATGCATCAAGCAAAGAGCGCAAGATTATAAATCCTAGGTCATGTTAGACATCTAAAGAAAATCTTGCTGGATAGGATTATGACATTAGAACTGCAAAAGTTTGTACTCCCTTTAACAAGTAATTAAAAGAACTTTGATGTATACTGAAATTTATAAGAACCTACATGGTATGGTAAGTAAAGGCTTGACAAATAAAGCAACAGAAGACTACCAAATAGGGGACAAAAGCGTGGCTATTTAAAATCAGCAAGTGATGGCATTAAATAATCAAAGCAGTGTTCATGTATAACAAACCTGGTACTGGGGGAAATCATCATTGACAGCAACCTCAAACTGTTTGAGCAGTTCATCAAGCTCACTTAGCACTGGAAGATTTAGAACTTTTAAAATTGGCAAACTCCTGCTGTCCTCTTTTAGTAAGATAATTAGTAGGTCTGTTCCCATTCGAAGACCCTTTACAAGAGTCCCAAATGCTTTGATCTGAAACAGGTATGCATGAGATTTAGTATAAAGTCACTGCTCAGTTTGTCCTTATAACTCAGCATAACTTCTTTTATGTTAATTATTAAATCTTTNGAACCACAATTGTCAAAAATATCCAAACAATTAATAGATGAAAAAAAATTAAAGCAACAACTAGAGGAATTGCTGCTACCTAGGCAGCCAATAAACTCACTTCTACTTTCAAAAGACATGTTAATACATTCCATGAAAAATGGCAATTAGGGAATTGGTCTAAAGGGCTTCTTTACAAGCTATACGGAAAAACCAAACAATAAGAAAGTGTGAAGGAAATGATAAAACTTGTTGCATTGCAAACCCTTCTAATCTGTAAACATGTCGACTAAAGCGTACTGCACAAATGCAGCACTAGCTAACTTATCTACCTCCTTAGCTAACTACTCTAGAGTCTAGATATACAAATTATTTAGTTTATAGTGATGGATATGCTTTCAAGTGTCAGGCTTAAGAAACACACACCATTGTGTCAAGAGTGGCTTGCAATACAGATACTTTTACCTAATGCTATTGCTAACCATATTACGTAAGGAGTTCAAAGTTTAAAATAAATGAAGGCGCGAGAAGTCCTTTTGGGCAGCGGATAGCAGTTTAATTGGACTAGGCATTACGGTTGAGCAGACACTCACTTTTTCAAATATTTTAGTAAGTTGTTCTAAGTCCTCATGTGCCAAAAGTTGATGTTTTCCCTGTTCATCTTCCCCTATTCTTTTTAAGAAACATATAACACTGAAGTACTGAACAGATGTCGGAGCATAGCCAGTATAAGAAAGCCTGAGCCTAGCCTCCATAATCCATATACAGGTTAACCGAATAAACTTGGTTATGATCTCTACTGTATCATATCAAATTTGACATGCCTAAATTTATGTTGTTTTACTGAAACATTTTACTCTAAAAGGAGGAGCATCTTTCAAATCATATTAACTTGTGAGACATATACCCCCAACCACGAGAAGCTTGCTATGCGATATACTATCTGCACATTATTCCTCCCTCCAAACAAAATAATTTAGTCAGAAATTCTGAAATTATTAATGGATCATTAATACATAATACAGCAAGGGGTGCATAATATGGGTTTTGTAAAACACATAATTATGTTGGTACTAGTTGTCAACAATTTAACTCTTCCAAAAGGAAATAAAAATACTATAGCTCACTTCTCCAAAGTACTATAATGAAGAGGGAAAAAACCAGCTCTATACAGTTCGTTATCATGCATGAGATGGTATAAAGGTAATATAGTAAGCCACATTGTACCTTCAATGCAAATGTGAGCACACGCATAATCATATATTATATTAGCACAGAGATAAGCCTTTTCCAATTATTTATACAGAGACAGATTCATTAGGCTAGAAAACACAGATTATGTGGGAATATAAAACCTCTAAAAGTGGTATTACTCTGCATACCCTTTGTTTCAATATCTTCTCTCCCACGAAAGGTAGCAGAACCATAGAAGAAGACCCAACAGTAGCCTTAACTTGTCCTAACAATCTCTCAAGATCTGGAAGCCTACGCAAAGTCTCACTCATGATGGATACTACCCCACATTGATTCACCAGTCCTTCTACAATGTTAAGTCTATCATTGATTTTATCAATGTCTTTTAGTGGATGGCAGATCCACCTCCTTAGGAGCCGTTTGCCAGATGAAGTTATACAGTGGTCAAGATGCTTTAGCAATGTTCCTGAAATTTTAAAGAATAGACTCCATAAGGACTAAAAAATGAATAATTGCACCTGAAACATTCGTCGCAAAGAAATCATATATGAATAGGAGCAGAAAATGTAGATGATTGCCTGCTAGACCCCCATCAACATTATTGCTGAAGATCTCAAGATTCACAAGTGTCTGCCCATCCATCCTTAGGCAGCTCTTATATACATGATATGGCAAAAGTTCCCCATTCCGTAAAGCGTCATCTAGCTGGTTTGAAATCAATCAGGCATAAGAATTCATGCCAGTAAATTGTATGGTGTTTTTATAGTGAGGTTACTGAATATCACTAGTTACAGAGAATGCTTTATGGCACCAGTCATTATACAATCTACAATGACTAAGATCAATTTGCATAAACACCAATTGACTTTCTTCTGGCATTAGAAGAATCAAGGGGGCATATAACATTGCCTTTCATGTTTAAAAGAATAAAAATGAGGAAAGACAATGGTTGTTGTCTCTCATGTTCAGATTATAGGTAAAGTAAATTATATAGACAATTGACAAGAAGAAGAGAATTGAAATATACAAATTCCTTTTCAAGTCAGGAGACAACTGACGATGCAATAGAATGACTTACAGGTATAAATCAGAGAAGATTAAGAGGGTTACAAATTATTTATATCCACATGTTTCTGCCTATTAACATATGAAAGGAAAATTTCTTTCTGCCCATGCACCTAGCCTATTTATAGACCAATTGTGTGAAAAGAGCACACAAAACAAAATGAGCATAATATAGCATGATAAACCTTTAGTTATTTTTGAGTTCAATAATCCAGCGGGTAGTCTAAATTTTAGTCATAAGAAGCTCAATTAATTAGTTAGGTGATGAGCTAGCAAATTACTATAAATACAGTTTTAGTTTTCTTACCAGAGTGTTTGTGCCATGGTAAATTCTCAAATTTCTGTGGTATCTATATCGACAGCAATTTTACTGTAATGATCAATGAATATTCTCTGATTTTTCCTAAAAATGAGATCCAATATGAACAACTGCCCAATACAACAAATTCCCAAGAAGAGTGAGGTTTTTTTTTCAGTTGACTTGCTGAACTATACTTTGATCCATATTTTATTATTTTGGCCTAATCAGTTTTCCTTGCTGTGTTATATGATATTTTACAATAAAATGATGAATTCAAATCTAAATACTCTATGAGAAATAAAACATTGCAAGTGCTGTGAGTCATCCAGGCCATATATAATCATGGAAAAACCAGAATTATATTAACAATTAAGAGGTATAACAGAAGAAGACTCCTAAATAAGCAAATGATAGTATTTCTCCACCCACACACCTTTAGCCTACTTAAATGTTCAAGCAGTCCACCCAGAGCACAGATAGTAAGATCATAATAGGTTGCACAATCAAATGCCGAAGTCCATGAACTAGAAGACCCTGTAAAAAATCTTTTAGAGTGTATCAGATTTCTAACTTCTTCAGGACCCAGAAAATTTGCACTAGGCATCACGGGAGTTAGTTGCATTGTTGTGCGACCTGTAACGTAAATTAAAATTAGTGTTTCAGTGTCGGATGGCAATTACGAAATAATAAACAGACACCAGAGGTATTTATGCAGGCTTCAAACGTCTTTGTTTTACAAAATCTTTCTGTTAGACCAGAAACATACTTTCTTAACACAATTCAGAAAAAAGGAACGTAAGGTCGTACACCCCACCCAGAACACACCTAACATGTCTATCTGAAGTTGATAAAAAGACACTGCGAAAGCCCATGGTTTCAGCAGTAAAAAATGATGGTGTACAACCGCTGTAGAGCATAGAAGTACAAGTATTATCTTTAACCCTCGTCATTGTTCTGGAGTTAAGAATTATAATTTAGATTCAGCCCATTTGTTAAAGAAAGCTTTGTGACTAGTGTTGAAAAGAATCGTCTAGCCATATCGACAATAGGATGCTGTCTTTATTGTTGCGACCAGATGTAATTTAACAGGCAAAAAATGTGACTGATCACTGCAATTTATATCACTAGATTATCCTTCTAGCTGGCTGACATAAATCACATAATAGAACCATGTTTGTTCCTCAAGGAATTTTATAAATTATTCAAGATAAAACATCATGATTGCATACCAAAGAAATACCGAGATCTACAGATCAAATTACAGAGATTCCTTTTAGTAATTTAAGCACAAGTCACTATGCCAATGTTTATCTAAGAGATCATTTAACACCCAAAAAGCACACATTGCTTTAATTAAAGAATGAAATTTTTAGCATTCCATTTGCCTTCAGCCTTCAGTACTTTGATGTTATTAAGAAAGGAAGAAGCATTTATTTTTGTTTGTAGATGGTGCAAAATTTTAAAATTTACATATGCAAGCTCAACAATAAATGTAGACAGGAAAAAGAGATAGAATACAATTATGTTAGGATTTTTTTAAATCATCTGGAAAAAGCACATGTACGCCTGCCGTCAACCACACACCAAAGAAATACAGACGCACACCAAAGATTTTTCTAGCACATGTTATGGGGGACAACAAAAAAAATATGGAAGAAATAAAAAGAACTAAGAAAAAGAAATAAAAATTTCAGCCTCACATGTAGATCAATGATCTCCCTGCACCGTTTTGGATTGTTGATTTGGACTCCGACAATTGTCCATAAATCTGACATTCTTGGATTGGGACCTAGACTCAGATTTTATGGTTAAGAGCCCCGGACTCGTCGGATTGGATTTTGATTTTTTTGAGTAGAATTCTTGAACTTTTAGTTTGGATTCTTGAACTTTTGTTTTTGACTTGTAGACTGAGGCTTGGATTCTTGAACTTTTGTTTTTGACTTGTAGACTGAGGCTTGGATTCTTGAACTAAATTTTAGATTCGTGGATTATTGGCATTAGGATTTTCAAATTAAATTATTATGTTAAATAGTAATTATTAACAAACAATGAACATTAATTTGAAACACCACCATCATTTTGATCAATGGATGACAACAACAAAACTGAATACATCTTATAATCCATTTAAACAGTTAAAATGATGCCACATAAAAGAAGATAACTAATGCTCAAGCACATAAATTTTAATAACTAGCGTTCAAGTATATAAAAGAAAATGACTAGTGTTTGATCATATGAAAACTAATTTGAATATTTAAAAATCTAAATATAAAATATATTATTTCATATCAAAAAATTATCATCAAATATTTGAATGATTTGATATTAAATATTTTTGTTATTCAATACATTAAAATTTTTAATATTATATATATTTAATATTTACGTATTTAATATATTTAATATATTTAATATTTATGTATTTAATATATTTCATATCTAACATTTAACTAAAATTGAAATGTATGAAATACAATAAAATCACAGTTGGAGAAAGGATAAGAAATCATTTGATGGCACTAGGGAGAGAGGGTATGCAGCGCCGAAGCTGACCGGAGATGACATCCTTAAGCAGGTGGAAGATCTTATAGGGATCACCTTGACCAATCATCCAGAGAAGAAAATTAAAATATCACACGAAAGACGGGGAGATAATTGGAATAAAAAAAGTATTTTTTTTGATTTGCCATATTGGAGAACTCTCTTATTGCGACATAATTTAGATGTCATGCATATTGAGAAGAATATTTGTGATAGTCTGCTGGGAACAATCATGAACATTAAAGGAAAGACAAAGGATAATATCAAAGCCCGTCTCGACTTACAAGCAATGGGTTTAAAACCGGAGTTACATCCAATCCAGAGAGGAGATAAACTTGTGATGCCAGCAGCTTGTTATACTTTATCCCAAGAAGAGCAAAGCAAATTTTGTCGATTTCTAAAGGAGTTAAAAGTTCCAGATGGATTTTCATCCAATATTTCTCAATGTGTAAATCTTAAAGAGCGTAAGATTTTGGGGTTAAAGAGTCATGACTGTCACATTCTTTTGCAGTGCTTGATTCCTGTATCAATTAATGACGTTCTTCTTGCAAAAGTGTGTGAACCAATTATTGAACTTTCCATATTCTTCACTATATTATGTGCCAAGACATTAAGGGTGGATGAACTAAAATAAATTGATGAGCAGATTCCACTTACGTTATGTAAGCTTGAGAAGATTTTTCCACCTTTAATTTTTGATGTTATGCTGCATTTAGTAGTTCATTTAGCATCTGAAGCCATACTTGGAGATCCTGTTCGATTTCGATGGATGTACCTAGTGGAGCATCAGCTTTATACTTATAAGTCATATATCAGAAACAAGAAATACAATGTAAAATATTTAAAACATTTATATATTTAAGAATTTTTAAATAATAAACATATCTAATTTAATAATAAATATTAAATATATTAATTGATTACATATTATCAAATATATTTTAGTTTTAAATGAATTTATAGAACTTGATTAAAAATATTTTAAAATTAAATACATTCAATGTTAATATATAAATAAATTAGAAGGTGATTACATAGTATTAAATAAATTAGAAATATGGATTATTTTAAATTTAAATATATTTAATTTGATATATATTAAATATTTAAATAAATAAAGAGGAGAAGAGAGAGAAAATACGCAGAGTAAAGATAACAAACCACCAATTTTAACTTGTACTTTTTTTGAAAATTCTCATTAAAAACCATAGAGTTGGAATGGAGTGTGGATTTTAAATCTTAGTCCTAATAGCAATCCTAAACAACCAATAACATCTTAAACTCAAATTCAAACCCTAATCCTAAAATAATAACATGTTAAATTCAAATCTAAATCCTAGTCCTAAACCAATAACACCTTAAATTCAAATTCATATCCTAGAAATAAACTAATAACTCATTAAATTTAAATCCAAATTCTAGTCTGAAACGACACCACCCTAAACTGAAACCCAAGAAAAAAATCTGAGTCTAAATCAACAATCCTTAACCAATAACAAGAAAAGGAGATAGAATAGCATTATGTTAAAGAGTATTTTTTTCTATCATCTAGAAAAAGCACATATATGCTTGTCCTCAACCACACCAACCCAGACCCAAAGAAATACAGACACACCAAAAAACATTTAGCACATGTGAAGGGGACAGTGATTTAATAATCGGCCGATATTATCGAAATATCGGCGATATATTAGGTTTTTACTCCTTCCAACACGATTTTTGAAAAATAAAATAAGTTATCGTTTTCACCCGATTTTGGCCTATATATCAGCCAAAATCCAATAAATCGGCGATATATATCGGCCCAAAAACAGGTCGATGTATTGTGCCAAAAAAACCAAAATGCTTATTTTGGTTTCGAGTCAAATAACCAAGAATTTTTAGACCAGACCCGCAACTTAAAAGATGTAAACCACTAGGTGTTTCCTTCACCCAAAACCCTAGCCGTCTCTCTCCTGCCTCCTTATTGTCTCTCTCCAAGTCTGAAGCCTCTCAAGCTCCCGTTGAAGCTCCTCTGGGTCCTCACAAGCTGCCAAGCTCCTCTCTCAAAGCCGGCGGAGCTCCTCAAAGGCTCTAAAAGCTTAAAGATACTGAAATAGGTATGTATCATTTCTAAAAGCTTGATTTTAGAGATGTTTCTCATTCTCCATGTAACTAGTACTTTTATGTGGGGGTTTTTTGCATACAATTCACCGTACCAGCATATATGGTGGTTTACATTCACATTTTGGAAGTTATTTACATCTTTTCTTAACAACGTAGTAAGAAATTAGTAGTGAAATTAGTTCTTCATGCCGTTCTTATCTTCTCTTGACTAACAATTTTACATGAAAGGCAACTGAAGCTTGGATATCTCATAAAACTAACTACATTAGAGATAACTTGATGTATGATTTTAAAAAATTGAAGTTCAAAACTAAAGATTAGAACTAAAGTTAAAAAAATGAAATTAGAAACTGAAATTGCATGTGATTAAAACAAAAAACTGAAATTAGAAACTGAAATTGCATGTGATTAAAACAAACAATATGAATGTTAATTTATGATTATTTTCTGTTTTATATGCTTGTTGATTATTTTCATAAGTTTATCTAATACGTTGAATCGTAAATGATTTATAAGAGGATGTCGTCTGAAGGTCAAGGATCTAGTCAAGTAGCTGCTCAAGGATCCAACAAACCAGCAAAAGTAGGAGGCAAAGATCCTTGTTAGACATACGGGGAGAGGGTTGGTAATGATGCAACCAAGGTTAAATGCAAGTTCTGCATGCAGATTGTGAGTGAAGGGATAAGTCGATTCAAAACACACTTGGCAGGAATTAGAGGCAATTGTACGAGTTGTGATAAGGTTTTGAAAGATGTGAAAAAGAAAGCTTCAGAAATATTGCAAAGGGGGAAGAGTAAGGATGAGAAGGAGTTGAAAGCGCAGGATTTGCTTGATTATGTCCATATATGGGAGGAAGAGGGATATGACAAGAGTGTCTGTACCTACTCAAAGTAGAGTTGTTGGGGATTCGAAACAATCAATCGAACCCTTGCCCTTCCGGACCTTGTGTTGAAAGTAGGAAAGTAGGAATAAAACCACAAATA